CCAGCCATGAAATACTCCGTCCCCGGTGGGCCGGCCAGCCAGGCCCATCAGCGGCCCCAGCCAAGCAGGCCTTTACAGCCTGACGTGAGGAGTGCAGGCAGCTCCTCCGGTCTGGTCTGGCCTGCGCAGACGATGGCAGCCAGCTAGAGGGGACTAACTGGGCAATTAGTCAAAGACCAATTTGGGAGAACAATGGGGTCCACACGTTTAACAGGCTCCCCCTGCCGTCACAGCAGCAGGGGGCCTGTTGTGGGCCCTAATGGCTGCCGAGTAGACGCTGTGTTTGTCTTGGTAATGTGAAGCACTAGCCAGGCTAATGACACCAGAGGTGGGTGGGTGGGGGGGGGCATGTTATGACTCAAACCGCTGGCCACCTGTCTATGTGACACACCACAGCCGGGATGAGATGGGTGGATATTTTACAAATGAATTTCATACATTCGAACAATGGCTGAATGTCTAGGAGGTTCTAGCACAGTGGCTTTTGTGAGTGGTTCTCCCTCAACTTGACAACGTGAATATAAAACGTAACGAAAAGGAAAAAGGAAAAGAGGAAACCTTAACTAGTCAGTTGTAAAAAGTAACTGAGAGGTCCGTCTTACATCAAGCACAATCGCTACCTCATTGTACCATGGGACGTGTACATTGAGTAGACACTTGTCCAAAGAGAGCTACAAGTGAGCCTGTGAACAATCAAAGCATAGCATCACATATGGAGTACAAGAGTTGGTGTACAACTGCAGACCAGCCAGTCTGCAGACCAAAGACGCCAGCTTACCATCAACAATACTTTGCAACTACTACAAATCTGCATATCTATGCATGTACAGCACTGTCTATTCAAAACCGCTGGTTATTTTCCCCATGTATGCAGGAGTAGCCGACCACCCGTATGAGTTGCCAAACCCTGAACCTTTTAATGTAAGAAAAAAAAGAAAAGAAAAAAGGACTGGGGGTTATAATGTCCGTATGATGAAGCGCTTTATGAAACACAATCCATATTGTACAGGCTTCACCGCAGTAAACTGAGACAGGCAGCACCTGAAACACCACATCAAAGACAGTACACCAGGAGGAATCGGGGGGGTGGGGGGGGGGTGTAGATAAAAGCTGTCTGCCCCCCCCTCCTTCCCTCCTTGCCCATTACAATCCCATTTGCCACCTTTTCATTCTCCCTTCACCCCGTCTGTACATCCCTCCCCCCCCACCCACCCTGGGCTCCAGTAAGGCTGACAGTCCCCTCTGCAGACCGTCATCGGCACACAATTGTCACATCCAGTCTCCGGGCTTGGCCGGGGGCAGACGCTGCCACGCCGAGGTGAGCCAGACAACAGTGCATGGCACACACACACACACACACACACACACACACACACACACACACACACACACACACACACACACACACACACACACACACACACACACACACACACACACACACACACACACACACACACACACACACACACACACACACACACACTACTTGGGATCAGTACCACTCGCATGACATGTTGGAACCGATTTGGTGGTATGGAGTCAGCGACTACTGTATAGTTAGTTTGATGATTTTTTTAGACTTGCTATATCATGGTTTTCCAACATGTGGTACAGGGTACTGCAGGTGGTACGTGGGATGTTATTCTTGAACTAAATACATTACAAATATTGTTCAGTAGATTTAGTATTATGGCCTGCTATTTCAAAAACCACTTTGTGCATTCCATTGTTTTTATTGTAATGTTTTCCATTGATGTTTTATGTTGTGTTTGCTAAACACACTGGGAGCATGAGCAGCGTTGCTGCCATTTTCTTTCCACCGTTTCCCAGTGGCCATGGCCTTCTTGCAGTAATAATTGTGTATACAAGGGGGCGCTGGCACCCTTTGCTCAACCACTGCATGTGTATTAATCTATTTATTACCGTTTGCATATGAGGTGGTCCACGATGGTGGTCTTGATGACAATTTGGTGGTACACAAAGTCTACGGTGATGACTTGCCACCCCACTTCTGTGAATCGTTCCCAAACCCTGAGCATGTTTTACTGGCATAATGCAGAAATGATAATGCGTTTAACTGTAGGATGTTGAGTTTGAAAATCTGTTGAAAAGTTGAAATGATAATAATCAAGTAGTGGTGCAGTGTGCATTCAAGACAAATTTATTACATACATCTTTTTCTTTTGCAATTCCGTTTCGGTTGAATAATGATCGGTTTAAAAGTCATCCACTTTCACCACAAAGTGTTTATTGGGAATGGAAAATGAACATGCAAGTGCAAAATAACATGGAAACATATGGAGGAAAGGTTAAGGAGAAACTGTGCCGTTCATTCTTCATGTGGGCCCGCTTCCTTCTGGCTTCTCGTCCTCATCCACAGTCCTACAAAACACATTTCATATTCTTACATATTTTTTTGTAATGTCATTAATAATGCACAACAGCCCAACCAAAGCAGAGCATTGAACTTTAAATACCAGCGATTAAAACTTAGACAGATCCAAAAAAAAGAAAAAAAAAAAAAAAGGTACTGGTAACGGTAATAATTCTTTAAATTGTATCCGACTCTAAAACGTCTCACCGAATGAATTATCATTATCAAAGGTTAAATATATCCTTTGAGCTTTTCTTTTGCATGAATTACATTTACAGTTTCATCAGGATCATGTCGGCATCCAAATCTGTTACATAAGAAAACCTCTAATGCCCCTTGTGAATAACTTAGGATTTGATTAAGAATTCTCTCTGGAGGAATGGAAAAGCCTCCACAACACATTAGCATGGCAGCAATGCCCCCGTTAACTCTCATGTGAATAGCCCATCACGACACCATGAATAACATGAATCTGTACAACAACAACAACAACGGACGAAGTCGACCTGACGGCCGATCAGCCTGAGCACCTGTGTGAAGCCCGCAGAGAGGTAGGGGGGTCACAGCCCATGAACGCCCCGTTGTCAAAGCAGTACTGCAGCAAGACCCGGAAGCAGGGGTCCTGGAGAAGAGCACACATTTTTATCCAAAGTCGCTTAGTGATTTGTTTTTTGATACGTCAGCAATGAGCAGGTAGGAGTAGCCTAGGCATCTTGCTCAAGGATGCCTAGACGGGCAGACCTGCACACATTGGGGTTCGAACCCAGAAACTTTCAGCTAGGAATCAAACACCCTAACCACTAGACTATCACGCCCCTGTACACATTAAACGGCGTGTCTACATCAGAATTATACATCAAAATATGCAGGAAACGTGTTATTTTTTAGTACACACAATAAAAGCACTTACCTTAACGAGAATGTGAGGGTTTCCGACGATTATGAGCAGGGCTTTGGGCCGAGTGATCGCCACATTGAAACGCTTGGGGTTGGACAGAAAGCCCAGAACGCTCTGTAGGTTATCGCCCTGTACCGACTCGTTTGAGCGCACCTACATAATAAGGAATATACGAGGATTCATTAGAGACTATTGCCTGTCTGGGTTTTTTATTCTGTTTCGATTTTGATATCACTACTGGGTTGATGTTGGGCTTTTTTGTACATAGTTGACGTGCATCACCGACGTCTGGGTTTATTCCACAATAATGACTCGGCTCGCTGCATATTACGCCTCACTGGTTGTGTCTCTCACCGTGGACAGAATGACGACCAGGTACTCCTGGCCCTGGAACTCCTCCACAGAGCCCACCTTGATGTCCGCCAGACCCACCCTGCCCAGCAGAGTACGTATCTTCTCAGACTGGTGGGGGTGGGGGTATGGATACGAGATGACACATTACAATTTTGAACCAATGAAAATAAACTGTTCAATAATACAAAACAAATAGCATAAGCTCATCTGCTTCAATTTGTACTTTTTAAAACTGTCTCGTTTCTCCTGCAAAAGCTGCATTTCACTTTGGGGATTAGTGGGGATAAGTGTCCACACATAAAATAAAAGGTGGATGAAAATAAATGAAGACAACAAAGTGATAATAAAGCTCCGGGCAGCGCTAATCATGTAACGGTAATAATACTAGGAGTTCAGAGAAGGGCAGAGCACAGTACCGCAATGACAGTCCCAAATGATCTGAGGTGCTCCCTTCTTTTAAATATCCTCCAAATCGGCCTCCTGTCCACACACAAAAGCTACGTGTCCATCAAAAGCTGAGATTTTCAAAGACTCTCTCTCCCAAGTGGAGGAATTTGGAAACGGCGGCCTCTAGTGTCTGACCCGGACAGTGGCATGAATGGAACGACAAAATGGAGAAACAACGAAGCAGTCTTTTGAAAAAAATGTCTCACTTGTTTCCTGTAGGGGGCGATGATGCCTATTTCAGAGGGGCTGATGGGGTTGTAGAGCCTCTTGGCCAGCTGGCAGCAGTACAGCATGGCCTGCACTGCCTCCCCTGGGTTGAACCATGACGGGTTTGCCCCCTCCCGCATCTCCGTTCCCTGGAGCAGAGACACAAAGCTGTTATGGCAAGCGTTCGCCGGACGCCCAGAGGGACTAGCATGACAGAGCTACATTTAGGCTGTGCCAGCAGTTAAGCACAGATTAGGGCGCCATTGTCTGCTCGTCTCCAGAAGCCTCACCCTGATTCCGTGGAAGAGGAGCGGGAAGCCCTTTTTGGGAAGGCGCTTCCAGTTGCAGAAGGAATTCACCACGGACCTGGGGGCCCTGACTCGCAGCTCTCCCTTGTAGAACAGTTTGGACGGCAGCCTCAGCAAGGCCTCGTGGGAACGGTAGTTGTACATCAGCTTGGTCACCTGTCGTCGTAAAAACATTGCGACTACATTTAACTTAGCTTAGGGAAAGAAGAAACACATGTAGTTAATGTATGAACATGAGGAGCACGCAGATGATGTAATTTGTGAGCTACACATGTTTTCAATTGTACCATTTAGTAGTTCAGCGTTTAGACGCTTTTAGCTCAAAGTGACTTCCTATGTTGTTAAGATACATGTCATTAAGGAGCAGGTAGGGGTTGGGCATCTTGCTCAAGGATGCCTGCTGGTAGGCTGCAGACATTGGGGTTTGAACCAAGAACCTTTTGACTGGGAGTCAAACAGCCTAACCACTGGCTGTACCCTATATCCCCCTATTGTTGTGTACTGGCGTCATGTTCTTCTTTGCACCAACCATTTTGGGATTGTACCCCCACTCCTCCCTGGAGTAGAGTGGGTTGGCCATCAGTCTCTCCAGCATGGAAGTGCCCAGGCCGAACACCTTGGCCAGGTTGGACTTCACCACGGGCCCCAGCTGACAGGGGTCTCCAGCCAACACTATCTAGGTGGGGGTGGGACACAGACGTGTCACTATAGACCCATGCACATGTCAGAAAACATTGTCATGATTCCATATCAGTGGTATTGAGTGTGTATGCGTGTCTGTGTGTGAGATTGCATCTGTGTGTTCAGACTTGGCCGTCTTTCTCCGAGACTAGCGTCATGGGGATGAGGGCTTCGGGCTCAGTGGCCTGGCCAGCCTCGTCCAGGAACGCGTGGGTGAAATGCCCAACTCTGAGGAGACACAAACCCCAGAGTATATAAAGAGTGAAGAGCACTGCCAGGTAGGGCTGGGACGATATGCTTATCTCCCGATTCAATACCATCATGATACTTGGGTACCGTTTCGATATGTATTGCAATTTTTAACTTTTTATTTTTAACACTAATTTTTAACACTAGACGATGGGAAAAATGTTGAATCATACACTTCTAGAGACTGTATATCGTGAGGTATATTTCCAAAAACAAGACGCATCACATGTCTTTGACTTTTACTTCAGGAGCATAATTGCTCTACTGGGAGGGTTTAAGGGAAGGTTAAATGCTACTGTTGATAGTGTACTTCTTGTATGCATTTAATTTGAAAACAATGAACAGTGTTTGAAAAAAAAGAAGAAGAATCAATTCAGGCATGAATAAAGAAAAAAAAATGTAAAAAAATGTTTTTTACTGCAGCCCGATGTGGTGGAGCATGCCAGCGCTGGAGCAGGTGCTGACCACGATCCTGTGGAAGGAGGCATGGCGGATGTCCTCCCCAGCTCTGGAGTACGGCCGCAGCTCTTCTGAAATGGACTGGGCAGAGGCAGAGTTGTATAGCGAGTATGATTCAGCTGAACACGGATTACAGTGTGATATTACAAAGGACACGGTGGTGCCTAGGGGTCAGGGTGTTTGACGCCTCGTCGAATTGTTCTGGGTTCAAACCCCGATGCCTGTAGTCTACCTTGGGCAGGCTGCATAACCCCTACCTGCTCCTTAATGATATGAATCTCAAATTCGCTGCAAGTTGCTTTAGATAAAAGTGTCTGCTAAATAACCAGTAAAATAGTAAATGGTCTCTAATCTAAAGCACTTGAACTAAACTCGTCCAGCCAAACAGTAATCTACCTTCTTTATAGTAACTCACAATAGTGATCCCTTGCTTGTGTACCTCTGCTTGATTCACACACACTTTAAGCTGAAGAACACAAAATTCCCCCTTTGTGTAAAACGCAATTCTCTATTCTCTCTCCTCTTTTCCCAAAAGCAGTTCAGTGCAATACCTCTTCCTGCCTACAGGAGGCGTTGATGCGAGCCAAACTAGCAGCATGCATGAACCCACTGTGGTGCAGGCGGATGCAAATGAGGTCCGCAGCGCTGTTGGAGGGGGTGCACACCAGCAGACGACTACTGGGAACAAAGTGGTACACCTTGGAGGCGGGAGAAACAGTAGTCAAACTGGGCAGGTGGTGTCACACAGAAATATAATATAAAAAGGACAAAAATATATGTCCCTTGCCTCGGGGAACACTTTCAAGTTACAGGAGCAAAAAGAAAATGTATAAATGATTTTAAAAAAAAAAAATAGATATATATATATATATATATATATATGATAAATAGAACACAGAAAATAACAAGGTCACTATGTATAACTTTTATTTTTGACATTACATTTGATAATTTTGATCCAAAGCGACTTACCATCAAGGCACACAATCAAAATTGAGTAAAAAAAAAACTAACCTTGTATTTCTGATAACTATGGCTACCTCTCCAGTAGTTATTTTTTAACTACTACGACTACTTCAAGGCTGTACAGCACTACAGCACTTTAGCCTCACATGCAAAATCACTTTGGATAAAAGTGTCCGCTAAATGACTAAATGCAACTATAAAATGTCAATGTGCATATGAGTACCTGCAGTATGGCCTCTATGAGGGTGATGGTCTTGCCGGTGCCCGGGGGTCCAAACAGAACGTAAGGGGTGGGCCGACACTCACCGGCCAGGATCCTCCTCACCGCCTCCCGCTGAAACGGGTTCAGCTGAGGGTTGAAGAAGCTGCCCTCTTTGGGAACTGCTTTGCTTGGCAACCTCTCGCCTCAAAGCAAAACAAAGAGACAAGTTTTTTTTGCATGGAGTGTGAAATATAGGGCATGTGCTACTCAAAGCTCAAGTAAGATGAAGTCAGTGTTTTATTTATCAATTGCACAACACAGGGTCATTTGGGACACTTATGTTACTGTGACATAGAGGGTTAACTACGCAATAAAGTACAAATACATTGTTTATTACAAAAATCAACAGCCAAAATACCTTTAGTTTGAGTCGCCTTGGACTTCATGTCGACAGAGAGACTGGACAACTTCTCCAGGTTTTCGGTCGTCGTCACCTAGTGTCCAGACACAGTCTCTACAGATCAGAAACACTAAGACCATGTCCACGATACAATGGACAAATGTAAAAACAAGGTTTTCCCGCTAACCGTTTTCCAGCTTGCATTTTTTACTCTATTTAGCACACATCACTTTAGCCGGCCGCAGGTGTCTGGAGGATCATGTCACAATTATATGTCTTCTTTTTTCGTTTTGCCTGGGCACACGCAAGTTTTATCCACTCAGAAAAGCTTCTTTAAAAATCAGTTTTAGTATGACGGGAGGCCAAAATGGAGGGGGAAAAAAAACAACATACAAGTGTTTTCCAATGCATCCACATTAGTGTGGACATGACCTTAATAACACCCGGTTCATTCTTATATATAATATAATATATAATTAGTGATGCACCGATCGATCGGCCACTGATCATTATCGGCCGATATACGCCCTAAATGTGATCGGTGATTGGCTGATTGACTGATCGACTTGAAATTTGCTGATTGTAGGAGCCGATCACATGACTTCACCATTTTCCATAACATAGTAATATGTTTTGTATAGGTCTGTGTTCTAAAGGAATTTGTGAAAAAAAAATGTATAATTGTAGCCTATATTACACTGTAAAAAAAAAAAAAAACACATTAAATCAGTATCGGATCGGCTCATCACACATACGAGATTTGTAAAAGCCTTAAAAAAAACCCTGATTGGTGCATCCGTATATTTATATAATATAAGTTTGGCCTTCACCTCGCTATCCACCTTGGTCTCCTTCTCTGGTTCCTCTATCCACTGCCCAGTCCACTGAGGCGGCTGGATGCTTATCTCAGTGGGGAACAGGACTGGAGAGGTGAAGATTCAAGCAAAACAGAGCAGAGTGGGTGCACCATAAAGCAACACGTCATACATAAACAACAATGTGTTCTGTATTGAACACAAAAGGAATGATAAAGGAGGACAATGAAACAATAATCTTTAGGACCTTTTAAGAACGTATGCCTGTTAATAGCAGCCTATTGTGTGCTACATGAAACAAACTATGAAACAAACTCTTTAGCGCTATACATTTTTCCAACAGCAACTTGTGATCAGCGATGTTGTAAACATGTATTAATTTTAAGCATTTAGTCACATGGCCTCCAATTACTATGAAGCCCCATTCATACATGCAGTCTATCCCAGAAATGTCATGGAACATTTCCTGCATGGGGTCATGTGTTTCCCACCTCGAGACCTAGTGACATTTCCGGAAAATAGCCGGTACGGCTGTGTTGTGAACGAAAGCAGTAACATTGCAGGGAGAGTCATGTAAAGGGTTACGACCGTCTGATGTGAGACGCCCTGATGTGGAGTGTGCGAAATGATCACAAGACCCTGTCAATGATTTATTTAAATCCGCGACCGTTTATCTTAAGGCGCTGATGCTTTTCGGGTGATGCGATAAGTAACAATATCAATACAACTTCTTTTGTTTGCAAACAAGCTCCTATTTTCCAAGAGTGGCTGGAAACTGCACATATTCAGAAATAAGGGAGCTCCTCTCAATACACGCAGAGGCACCTGACAAAAACAGCACTTCGCCCGCCATGTTCCTGCAAATATTAAGACATCTTCCACCGCGGACATCCGGCCTTGCCCCATTCAACCTTGCCCCATCGTCTTTTGTTGAGTTTTATATCATGGCATCCATAAGTGTTGCATTACCGCCATCTGCTGGAATGTCCCTTGGCCCATCTATTCCAGCATTGCTATGCCATGTGTCAAAGGGTCTAAGACAGAATTGTTCCAGAACGTAGCTGCGTGTGTGAATAGTGAAAATCACTACCGGTGCCTGAAAGGCTATCCCAGTAATTTACCATGAACCATGTGTGAAAGGGGATTAGGAGGTCACTCTAATGTAGTGCGCATTTCAGGTACAAAGTTAACATACCCGCTCCAAAGTGCTTGGCCTGCTCCAGGGCATGGTGACAACGTCTCATGGTCAGCCTGAAACAGTGTAATTAGTTTTATTCAGCAAGTAAAATGAAGAAATCGTAGGAATCACTCACTTTTTTTAACACTAGACCATGGGAAAAAGGTGGAAATCATACACTTCTAGAGACTTTATATCATCATGAGGCATATTCCCAAAAACAACACACATCACATGTCAGCCAGTCTTGATGACTTTTATTTCAGCAGCATCATTGCTACACTGGGAGGGTTTAAACTTTAAGGGAAGGTTACATGCTAATGTTGATATAGTCTACTTCTTGTATGCATTTAATGTGAAAAGAATATAGTCTAAAAAATAATTAAAAACATAAACAAATTAAATAAATAAAAAAGAATAAAACTCGTTCCACCCCTACTAACCACCATCTGTTCCCCTATCTCACCTGTTATAAGTGAAATCAACATCCAGCGGCTCTCCCTGATAACGCTGCCGCAGCTCAGCGTTCACCCTCAGAC